CCTTGAACTCAAATGTTGTATAATTTCCTCCCTGGTAGTCTCAGGAACATTTTTACACGGGACAACATCCCCCTTAATACTGGCAAGGTGTTTTTTAAATCAATAAATGCCCCCATTAGTATCCTTTCCACAATGATTACATTTAATACGATTTTTGTCTTTCGGATTTGGGTTATAACCATACTTCCAACTCGGATCACCACTTCTAGAAGAACCTGGAGAAGATATTTCCAGAGAACAAGGTTCATTTTCATCATTTTCTGGTTCTTTTAAATTTAGAAGTTGTCTAATCTCATCCCGAATAGCTTCAGGAACCTTTTTGCAAAAAGCAACATTCCCTTTAATACCGGCAAGATGTTTCTTGAATCCGTTAATACGCCCATTGGTATCGTTTTCACAAAAATTACACCTTATACAATTTTTATCGTTTCGTTTTGGGTTATAACCATACTTCCAACCCGGATCACTCTTCTAGAAGTAGCAGAAATAGACCTATTCAAATGACAAGGATTTTGTTCCTGTTTTTGTTTTACAGAACTCATATATTGCTTAATCTCCTCTCTGATAGCTTCAGGAACATTTTTACAAGGGGCAACATCCCCCTTAATACAATCAAGATGTTTCTTAAACCAGTTTATGTCCCCTTTCGTATCTTTTTGACAAAAATTGCATCTAATGCAATTTTTATCATTTGGATTCGGGTTATATTCGTATTTCCAACCCGGATCTCCACTTCAACTAGATCTTGAAGAAGACATCTCAAAATAAAACAAGCAATCTAAAAAATTAATTTTGCACTTACTTTGATTGCTCGAACTCCAAACTCCCACCTCTGAGATGTTTTCTGGTGCGAAAATAATAAAAAACACCTTCTAATAGGATTATAAAACGCCAAAACTAAATCAAATCTACTTGGGTGATGTTTGGATCTGTTTTTCGTAACTTTGAGAAACACTTCGATCCAATGAAAGTCACAAGATTTAGTTTTATTGAGGTATATTTCTCTCTAAAATGGGTTCTTGTGGGTTTAGGTTTGAAATGAACCTAAAACCCATCCTTCAAACATTTTATATTTTAAAATAATCAATACAAGGAAAAAAAATAAATTCTGCCCCTAGGTGGGGGCGCAGGCCTTGGGCTGCCTAGGGCTGGGCATTGGGTGCCCGCCTAGGCGGGTTCTGTACTGCCTAGGTGGCTGCCCATAGACTGCCGCCTAGTTTGGCCGCCTAAGCATGGGCGATTAGTCTTAGGCGTTCTGGACCGCCCAGGCATTGGGTGGTGTGCTTTTTTGAACAATGATGTTTGTATGTGTATGTATGTATTGTGCGTGTGTATATATATATATATATATATATATACATATGTATGTGTGTGTGTGTGTTTATGTGTATTTGTGTGTATGTATATATATGTTTATTGTGTGTATGCATGTATGTACATTTATATAATGCATTATGCATGTGTATATGTATGTGCTTTTTTTGTGTGTGTGTGGGATTAGCTTTTATAGGCCCAAGGGTTAATGCAATAGTATATGCCCAACGACTTCGATTGAATTTGAGCCAATATGATGATCATGATTACATTACGTATTTGAATTTTAATATTTTTTAATATAAATCCATATCACTTGAAATTGGAGTGTCCACTCTTCTCATTGAGGAGTACCTAATAAAAAATATTAAGAATAATTCACAAAAAATTAATTAACCTAAATACCCTTGAAAGTTTTAGGGGTATATTGGTCATTTTATATTTTGTGGGTTGGTTTTTTTTAATTTTTTTTCTTAGTTGAACATATTGTTCAAGAGTAGACCCTTAAAATTTCTTATAATTTGGGGTTGTAAAAAAAAACTAAATTTCAAAGACAACATAACCATGGCCATCCGATTGGCCAAGATTGAATCTAGGTCGTTGGGGGAGAGAGAGAGAGAGCAATAAGAATTTCCCCCCCACTTACATGTGTGATGAGGTACGCTTACATGTGGGCGAGGGTGGGCCAGTAGACAAGCATTAAAGTGAGATTTGTGAAAGCTGTACTACAGTTTAGGCCCTCCACGTTACGTATTTATATAATTTAGACAATTCAAATAAAAAAAACAAACGTGTTTGAAAAATGAAATGGAAACTTTCACCGGTTGACTTATCTGGTTCAAATAAAAAGTTAAACAAAAATAGCAAATAAAAAAATGAAAAATGTATAAAAAATTAAACCACTTCTCTGATAGATCCGGCTGCTTTTGTAAGAGAATGGGTATGGACCAATCTGGACTGGCCGGTTTGAAGGGGGACACAGCTAGATCCCGATATATTATGGGATTCGGATTGGTCAGGACGATTTCCAATTTGGATAGGGCAATTCCAAATTCAGATCAACGATTATTCAAACACTGGTTTATACTATTGCATTAGCCTCTGGGCTGACAAATCGTCTTTATATATATATAGGGAGAGCTTGAGGTTAGCTTGCTAGCTGATAGCTACAGTAAACGCCTAACTGCCTTGATTGATTATAAGCTGATCCAATGGTCATAATTGGATATTTGTATTTGAATTTTAATAATTTTTTTACAAATCTAATTCAATTGAAAATTTGAGCATCTAATCTTGAAAAATAGGCGAACCTAATGAAAAAAAATTAAAAAAATAGTTTGCAAAAAAAAAATTGACATAAATACATCTGAAAATTTTTGGGGTATTTTGGTCAATTTATTTTTTGTGAATAATTTTTTTAATATTTTTATTTGGTGCACTTTGATGAGAAGAATGAATGCTCCAAATTTCAAGTGATTTGAATTTGTATAAAAAATATTAAAATTCAAATACAAAATACTATTGTGAGCATCAGATCAGCCCAGATTCAATGGGGACCATTGGGCTTACACTATTTCATCTGCAAGTGGCTGACATGATCTTTTCCCATATATATATATATATATATATAAATACATATATAGATATGTTTATGACCTGAATGAATCACTTAGGAGAATGCATGTACAAAATTTGATGGATTCAATTGGTGCCTTATTGCATTTTAATTTAAAACATCTTGTTTCAGTCTTTTATCAGAATGTGTCATTTATTTGTAGAGTTTGAATGCGTAGAGATCATACGATTGAAGCTGTGAAAGGGGTTCCATGTTCTGTTGCATGCACATTCATATTTGATCAGGGCTTACTTGGGTAAACTAAGGACTAATCATTGTGCTTAAAGGCACCTAGGTGGCTCCTTGAGACATTGAAAGGTCTCGGTGCCCTGACTAGGCTCAGGTAGGCCACCTTGTGAGGGGGCCACTTATGCCGCAGGCACTGCCTCGGTGGCTCCTTGAGACATTGAAAGGTCTCGGTGCCCCGACTAGGCTTAGGTAGGCCACCTTGTGAGGGGGCCACTTATGCCGCAGGCACTGCCTCGGCGGCTCCTACTACCTTGGTCAAAGTACCCACCTGGAGGCATTTTGTCTGAGCATGCTTGCATGCACACCTATGTTACACTTTGTGTTCGTGTGTGTGAGAGAGAGAGAGAGAGAGAGATTTGTGTGTTGTGCTGTGTTTGAGATCCCCGGGGGGGGGGCGGGGGGTTAAGCGAGAGGTGGAGATTATGTTGCGTATGTATTGTGTATTTTGTGTCTTTAGGTCCTCTCACTCTTTAAACTGGGGTTTGTGGGTTCGTCTCTCTCTCTCTCTCTCTCTCTCTCTCTCTTCTCAACCAGTCCTCTCTCTTCAACTAGTCTCTCTCTAAAAAGGGTGGGTTTTGTGGTGGAAACAATCCCCATTCCATCCTTTTTCTTTGGGCTAACTCAAGTATGAGGTGCCTGCCTAGGCAGCCAAGATGGCACCTTATGCCTTTTAAGATGCATGGCACCTTATGCCTTTTAAGATGCATGGGCTAATTATCATAGTTATATGGGAAAAGAGAGATCGATATGTTAACTATGTGCTTGTCTAAATTGCATTCTGTTGAGCAGGAATTATTTTTAATTGTTTGATTCAGTAACACATCTTGGCTGATATCTATTGCATTTTACTTAGCTTGCTTACCTCTTATCGTTATTTATGTACAGTGGGCTCTTTCGACTTCCTTGTGTACTTAGTGCTAGGTATTTGTTTTTTTTTTTTGAAAAAAAGGTTTACTTTAGTGCTAGGTATTTGTTATGCTGTATTTTTTACCGGTTAAGTTTCTGTACACTTGGGGTCAATGCAATTATGCCTTGATAGTTAATTTATATGATAATGCTATATTTATTCTGCGCTTGTTTTGTTCGAGGAAATGAATCTGGGTTAGTTATTTAATTATTATTTTCCTTTTCCAGGATATGGCGTGTGACACATTTTTGAAAATTGTTCAAAAATGCAAGCGCAAGTTTGTGATTCTGCAGGTATCTCTTCACTCTTCACTTTGGATCTTTGTAATGCATTCCGCTTGATGGCACATTGTAAATCTCTTCATATTTCACTTGATCTGTGTAGTGCATTCTTTTGGTAGCACATTCCATCTGTTGTGATTCTTATGAAATGTTGTGCTTCTTAGTAGAAGTTCTTTTCTACTGTCAGTTACTAGAGAGCTGCAAGAGTTAATCCGTTCCGTATTAAAATTGGATTTTATTGAGATGGAAATGTCTAATAATGCTCGAGAGTACTTGGCCTAAAGAGGTCACATGCCCTGATTTTGCCATGTATATTAAATGAGATCTTTTGCATTGATTTGGCATGAATGGTTTCAAGGAACTTGAGCTCTGTGCTGAGCGAGAGAATGTATTTCACATATTATTCATAGAGTGAGGAATGGGTTCTCATTATTACCTGGAGATTTGGCGGGCTGCCATAAGGATCATATCATGATATGTTTTTGAGGATAATGTTAATGATGAACCAGATGATATGGCTTTCCCAGTTGTAGTGCTTGAAACATAATTCCTCGTTTTAAATCTTTACTTTTTCTTATTGTGCTGCTATTGATGTGAATCTGGAATAGCACGAGATTTCCACCAGCCTGGCTAATTTATATCGATATCTGACGGTAGTTCTTATCTTTATCTTTATGGTCTTTCTTTACAATGGCTGATGTATCCAACTACACGATTTTGCTCATATGAAATGATCGGAAACTGCCACGAGGTTCTAGTACTGTTGCATCTGTTCAGTTCATGCATATTGTTATGGCGTTGTGGCTTCATTCCTCGAGTTATTCTTAGATGAACCTCCCAAGAATGCTGCAATCCTTAAAATAGCATTGGGAATACCCACATGCCGTAGTTTTTAAGGCTTTTTGCATTGTAATTGTTCTCAGATTGACCAACCCACAATGATGCCACTGCACCAAATGTATCACAACACATTTATGTTTATGGTAAAATTTGATCAATGCTTTTAACATAATGTAGGGGACATTCTTTGCAGTGTAAGGATTCTTTAGGAATTTCCTATAGTAGATTCTGATATGGGATAGTGATTCTTGTTTACTCCACGAGCAGTTTTTGTTTATTAATTATTTATCTTACTTTATTGATTAACGGTTGTTTCTTACTGGGAGTTAGGTAACATCTTTTCTTTATTAGTGGTCTGATGGTTAGTAACTTCTGTTGACTGCCGACTTCTAAGATTTTGACTCTGATTTGTTATCAGTCATTCAATATACCTGTGAGAAAGCTCATGAGGCCATTTAGGATATTTTTCTTGGACAAGCATATGACGCATTGGAAATATCACCTCTTGCAAACTACTGTAGTTTATTGGGGTCTTGATATTCCCCTGTCTCTAAGGGGTGGTTACGAAAGGGCCTCAGTGGATGTGACATGGGATGCCCAAAAAGTTAACAGAGCCCGATTAATGTGGTTAAGGTTTTTCCATGTGATATGAATGGGGATGTCCCAAGTTGTGTAATACTGAGTCCTTATATTGCGGTGACGGGTTTCATGGGGCATCATGGAGGCATGAAGTCGGAATTGTGTAAGTTTTCAGTTTATGACTTCATAAAATCCTGATTGATTTTTTGGTGGAGGTGGTAATAATGTCCCACTGCTAAATTCAACAGTTTCATTTTTCTTCTTGAGTTACATTCCAAGGCTTGAGGTCTTTGATTTGCATATGAAGTTTCATAAGCTCTTTCGCATTATTCCTACAATTGGAAAATTCTGGTTAGCAGTTTAGCGTGGAACATGCTGATTGAGCTGAAAAAGATACCAGTTCAAACTGCTTCTAGCTGTAAAAGGAGAATTGATATTTCTGGGGATAAAAAGAAATTTATATATAGTTTGAAGAAGATTTTCTTCATAGGATGCAAGGGGTTGGTTGGATTCAGTTGGAATGCCTTTCGTGGATTTGCTGTAGAAGTATCTTTTGTGTAAACAGTCATAACTAATATAGCTCAGTGAACTGCGTCTAGAATGTGAGCGAAGTGTATGAGCCATTTGTTTATTCATTGGCTGTTTGTTCTTTGGCTGTCTATTGTTTGGCTGTTTATTCATTGGAGATTACTTTGAGGTCATTTTCATTTCCCTTTAGGCAGTTATTGATCCTTCCAATTATTTTCTGGTGACTTCTTTGTTCATATCCAGTTAGAGAAATGACTTTGTCGTTTATAATGAATATCTGGAATGTTTGGACATATGTGGACAATATGCATCTGATTATATATATTACTATTTAATTGCAGGTTGGAGAACGTGAGCCCTTTGTGTCTGAGCTGTTATCTGGCTTGGCATCAACAGTTGCAGACCTGGAGCCCCATCAGATTCATACCTTTTATGAGTCTGTATGTATTGGACATCTTGATGGATAAGTGTGTAGTTTTTATACTGAAAGAAATAGAGGTAGATGCTTTCTAATTAATTGCATATTTGTTGTTACAGGTTGGTCATATGATTCAAGCTGAATCTGACCCTCAGAAAAGGGATGAGTATTTACAGAGATTGATGGAACTTCCCAATCAGGTTCTGTATAATGTGGAGAGCCGGAATGCTGTATTGATTTTACTTTGTGTATCGTTTAACCTCCTTGGGTGCTAGTCCTTTATATGGCTTTCCCCTATTCTGAGCTGTTACCATCGTATATTTTAATGATAATATATCTTGGCATTCCTATAAGAATTGACGGGTTATAACTTAGATACTTGTTCGCTGCTGCAGAAATGGGCTGAAATAATTGGCCAGGCACGGCAGAGTGTGGACTTTTTGAAGGATCAGGATGTCATCAGGACAATACTTAACATACTCCAGGTATATCTTCCAAACTCTTATTTGCCAATTATGTGTGGCGGAGTATGTTGATTGGTCACTTGAATTGTAAGAAAATATCATGTTTGGGATTCGGTTTTGCTGCATTGACTGGATCTCAGATTGGTGCAACATGAAGCTTGTTGACCTATGTGACAAATTTTTTTTTTTCAATACCTCATAGATCATACATATTTTCGTAATTTTCTAAAATTTCAGTCATGGGTTCACTATTAAGTTTGTCTTATTAGTGACGCGATAGTAAGTGCTGCTGTGGCTTCATGAGTTATGAGAATAACCAATGCTCCAAAAAAACGGCAGGCCTTGCACCTAGGCAGGCTAGGGGGCGCTCTTGGGTGCTGGGTGCCCAGCCATGGGTGGGTGCCGAGGGTCTGTCTCGTGCTGGGGCGCACTAGGGGTGTTTTTGTACTTTTCCCCCATATAAAAAGAGGGGAGGGGGTTGGGGTTTTTATGTGTCCTAAACCGTTTTTCTTTTACATATTAAGAGTGCCAAAAAATAAACAATAAAAAAAGAAAAAACACATTTTTGATTTCCTGTTAGATTGATCGGTTAATTCAAAGTTTTGAAAAATTGATCCAAACATCATCCTTTTGGTTTGAACTAATTGGATTATACTTTATGATTTGTGAATTTTGACTTATGAGTTTGTGTAGTCATGATTATAAAATTCTCCTTATGAATGTGTTAATACTTTGTACTAGTCGTCTAGGCTGAATTTGAATGTTGGATTACATTTTCCTATTTTTCTTATATTGTGTTGTTAACTAATTGTCCAAATCTCAAATACTTTGGTTTGTCCTTGGAGTTTGGATTGATTGAACATAAAAACTTTATTAAAAATGCCTCAAAATGCATTTTTTACGCACAGTTTGGACCTAAAATCGTGTTTTCAGACACCTACCGCCCCTGTTCTTCCAGCTGGGCGCCCAAAAATCTGGCTGCTCGCCTAGGCGCTGGGCGGCTAGGACTCCCTCGGCTGCCAAGGCGCTCCTCAGCATTTTTTGGAACAATGAGAATAACATCTTAGCGATAAGAAGCCAAAAGTACCCTTGATTTTTCTCTGCATGGACAGGCATGGAATCATAGTGACCATATTTATCCAATCACCGCCTATGATATATCTGTGTGCATGCGTGCACGTATTTGCGCGCTCCATTCAATAATCTTATTGACGCTTCAAAATGGAATGCAATAGAAAATTGCTACTTAAACTGAATGCTATATATTTGTGGAAGTGCTAACTTACTAGTTCTTTTATTTGAAATCCATGTTCGGTGTAAGAGTTGAATGAATCTTTTATCTATAATGGATAATTAGAATTAGATGTGGTCGGTATCTTGAATAGCTAATTCATGTTGAAGTACTTATTGTTAGCGGTTTGCATAAGGTGTCGACCTTAAATAATCATAGTAAGGCACACCTTCAATGGGAAGATGTAGTTTTGGTGACAGATATTCCTAGGATTGGCTGGAAATCTATTTTCACCTCTAATTATGAAATTTAAAATTTAAAAAATGATGCAGATCAAGCTGATCTATAAACACTTAAAAATGTTGAAAGTGGACGGTTCAGATAATGTATTACATGGTCACTATTTTTAGGACCTGCAGTCCTTTGTTCTTTCTATATCCATACATCTCGAGGTCAAGATTTCCAATTGGACTGTTTTCCAGTATTGGAACAACTTTTCTGATGGGTTTTTGAGTGGTGCCTCATTTCTACAGTATCAGGTTGACACTTTTTAAACTTTTCCATACTTTAAAGACTCATTAAGAATTAGATGTCGGCAGTGTCCGGAATAATTAATTCATGTTGAATCCTTCAAGACTTCACCTGCAGTACTTTTTGATGCACAAGGCTTGGGCGGTCAATAATTTTGGTTGGTATATTTCGGCGTTTCCAGATATTGAGAAGGTAAAATCATAAAAAGCGTTTTTGGTTTCATTCAAAGAAGAAATGCTCTGTACAGAATCAGGAATGCCAGAATGTCTATCCTTATGTGGTTAAAAGCTTCCACCTTAAAGTGAGGCAGGTAGAGGTTGCCACAAAATGCGCCACCTCACTCATTTGTCATCACGCTACCCCCTGGGTGCCTGCCTGAGCGCCTGGGCTACTTAGTGGAAAATTTATCCGTTGGCAAGAAAATCTGCCTTGGTTGAGGGTAAGATAGTCATTTTCTCTAGTATGCCCCCCAAATCCTCTTAGAAAGAAAATGAAGGGAATTTTATATCTTAGGAGAATAATACAGTTTTATTTGGGTTTATGAAACGGATTTTTGGCTGCCTTGGCATGACCTGTGGTTCTGATTCTGAGGATAATCATCTTTGTGTCATATACTGATGTGAAAAGTGAAAAGCTATTTATTATGTCTGCGTCCTAGCTTTTTAATGAAATTAATGTTTCATGTGCGTTTAGAGGCTTATCATGGATGAATAATTGTTACATATGATGTTACTTTTCACTGTTGGGGTGGTAGTAGAGAACAACCTATACAATACACAAATTCTCAGTGATTATATACTATTTTTATAACATGTTTGTGCCATCCTTTAGCTTTTTTTTTTTGTTTGCCTTGTTTGGCCTTTTTGTGTGAGTGCATGTGTGTAGTGTGTAGTGTGAGTGTGCATGTGTGTATGCATGAGAACTCAGTGCTGTGTCTGGGTGTTGGGTTGGGGGGGGGGGGGGGGGGGTTGCACATCCGTGCATGCATCTGTGTATGTGTGGGCACGCGCTTCATAACAGAGTCTCGTTTGTTTTCCCGATTACTTGAGAAATGGATAGATACAGCCTCTTCTACTTTGGAAAATAACTATTTTTTCTCTCATTCATGAATAAATCCATGTATTTAGTATATTTACTGGGCACCCTAACTGTCTCTCAGGTACCTGCATGGTGACTCCGGGCCCAGGACTCCAATGACTTGAGCCCCACCTGCTTTTGACTAAATATTAATACTGTGTTATTCTGATAACTATTAAACACGGACCACAGTGTGTTCTTTGCTCGTAAATTCATCTGTCATCCTTGTTCAATGGCCATCTGTTTGATAGGGTCTTGATAGCCTCCGAAGTTGAGGTTTCCGACTGTTTTTCTCTTTTATAGAAAATAAGAGGATTTGGTAACCTCAACTTGATGAGGCCATCATGAAAAATTAGTTTAATACATAGATCACTTACATTTTCTTATGATTTTTGTTTTTTTTTGACATTTATGTATTGAAAGGCCAAATAAAAAAATGAAAATTCTTATGTTTCCGTCATGCTTATAAATCACATGCCTGGTAAATTGCATGCTCTGCTTGACAGAAATCTAGTTAGTAGGTTAATCTGGATTATTTGAATTTGGCAGACAAACACAAGTGTTGCAAGTTCACTTGGGACCTATTTCTTGCCGCAAATATCATTGATCTTTTTGGACATGCTCAATGTTTACAGGTATGTTTGTCTGCAGGAAAGACAAATCTGTCCAAGTATCTTTTGTTGATTTAGGGCATATTGTTATGCAAATTTGGATCTTTCTATCAGCAGTACAGAGCCTTGTGATGATTAGCTGATTTGTGCTTTTGTTTGAAACAGGATGTATAGTGAGCTTATATCAAGTAGTATAGCAGAAGGAGGCCCATTTGCTTCGAGAACATCTTTTGTCAAGCTTCTACGGTAAAATCAAGCTTTATAGTCATATTATTTGATGGATCTTTTCTTTCTTCTTCTTCTTCTTTTTCTGTTGAAATAGAAAAATAATCTATCCTTTGTGATTTTATGACTAAGACATTATGGCAAAACAGGTCGGTTAAACGGGAGACGCTTAAACTTATTGAGACATTTGTGGATAAGGCTGAAGATCAGCCACAAATTGGGAAGCAATTTGTACCACCCATGATGGATCCCGTCCTTGGTGATTATGCTAGGAATTTGCCAGATGCTAGGGAGTCAGAAGTGCTGTCACTTTTTGCTACAATAATAAACAAGTACATTCTTCACTCTCCTTTACCATCTGGTTCATTTACCTCTATCATGGAAAATTTATTTGGTTGGGTATTGTCCATATGTGTCTTGTGTTCAACACCTGCATTTCTAGAGGTTGGTAGCTTCACTTGGGGTACTTGATGAATATTTGACCTTGTTTCAACTGGTCAGCGACTTGATGTTGCAGTTGCAGACTTACTAATTCTAATGTTCTTGAAAAATAACATATGCTATGGTGGGGGTGAAATGACACTCTTGACATTTGAATAAATGAATTGACCTATCATCATCCCATAAGCTGTTTTCTCACTTTAATGTCAGACATGGGACCTTAATCTGGATTGAAATCTAGGCATGTGGTACTGAATGCAGTTTTCCATTCTGCTTGTGTAAATGGAAGAGCACTAGCCAAACAGATTAAGTTTCTATTGTGCTTTGTGCTTTTGAGTTGTAGCTTGAACCCCCTTGAGAGGTACCAGGAAATTCTTGATGCTACATTATTTCGTGGCTTTCCCGTTTTTTATTCCATTTATCATTTCCTATGACTAACCTTGATTGTTTATTTCAATATCATTTCTAGAAGTTAGTGATCAGTTATTGTGTAGGCCCTTTATCTTTTTAATATGTTGCTGCTGGAACATGTTATGTTTTTTTCTTCTCGGAATCTTAACTTTTCTTATACAGGTATAAGGGTGTCATGATAGATGATGTGCCTCGAATATTTGAGGCTGTTTTCGAATGCACCTTAGAGGTGAGTTAGAGAGGACTTGCAACTATAATGCATTTGTGAGTTTTACTTGTCCACTGGCTTTCTCATTGCAAGTACAATCCAATGTTTGTAGATGATTACAAAGAACTTTGAAGATTACCCTGAACATCGTCTGAAATTCTTCTCTCTCCTGCGTGCAATTGCCGCACATTGTTTCCAAGCTTTGATACACTTATCAAGTCAGGTGAGTGTACTGTGTCACTGTATTTCTGCTTGTGAATGTCTGCATGCATGCAATTCTTACATTTTATTGCCTTCTCTCTCTTTCTTTATGAACCAGCAATTGAAGCTTGTCATGGATTCGATTAATTGGGCTTTCCGTCACACGGAAAGGAATATCGCTGAGACTGGGCTCAACTTGTTATTGGAGATGTTGAATAACTTCCAGGTGTGGACACATTTTTTCTTTTTTTCATCATTCCTGTTCCTTAATATCATCCATTCTTAGTGGGACATGGACTTCATCAGGCTTCGGAGTTCTGTAATCAATTTCACCGGAGCTATTTCTTATCAATTGAGCAAGAGACTTTTGCTGTTTTGACGGATACGTTCCACAAGCCTGGGTTTAAGCTACACGTGTTAGTGTTGCGACACTTGTTCTGCCTGGTATGAGCTATTCTGCATTTGATAGTTATGTTTGCATTTTGTAAAGTTAGGATACTATATGTATTTTTTTGGATATCAGGTGGACTCTGGTGTATTGACGGAGCCTTTATGGGATGCCTCCACTGTTCCTTATCCTTACCCAAATAACACCATGTTTGTTCGAGAGTACACCATAAAACTCTTGGGGACATCGTTTCCCAATATGACAACAGCTGAGGTAGGATATCTCTGCCCCTCCCTCCCTCTCTCTCTCTCTCTCTATATATATATATATATATACACACACATACACACACACACAATATTAGGTCCAGTGTTCTTCTTTTTATTTATTGAGAAATCTATTCTCCTTTGTATCGTTGTTCAGGGCAGGCGGTGTAGTTAGTTGGTTTTCATTTTTCATTTGTATCTCTTGTCATTCTTATGGAGTCTATTCTCCATTGTATCGTTGTTCAGGGCAGGCAGTATAGTTGGTCGGTTTTAATTTTTTTTTTGAAGGAAACATTTTTTGTTATTTTCAGGTAACACACTTTGTAGATGGCCTTTTTGAGTTTAGAAATGATCTTTCTCAATTCAAAAATCACATCAGGGACTTCCTTGTACAGTCAAAGGAATTCTCAGCTCAGGTATGATACAGTCTTCAGAGGGATATTACTCTGGGCGAATTTAGTTTTGTGTCTATGTGCTTGTTTGCCTTGAGGACTGTACTATAATTTGACCGAATGAATGGGACATCAAATTTATCTGTGTTTTTGCTTGAACATATTGCTTTGAGCCATGGACCTTGGTCATCAAATTCTAAAGATGTGTTTCCTTACTTTGTTTTTGGCAAGTTAGATTTATTTATCTTTGGTTTCTCTTTTTAATCGACACTAGTAAGGTGCAATTTGGTTGGGACAGTATACTGTTAAGTTTTATAATCATCATACCAGAAAAGTTGCACCATTACCCAATGGACTGTGGAATGCATGCTTTCATTAATATCCATTTAAATATGGCTGGTGATGGAAAGTGAAAACCACCATTGATATCATGCGCTCTTCTGGTGGGTGATAACCCAGCTGACTGCTTGTTTTTTTCTCTTTTTTTTTTCTTCTAATGGGATTGCAGTATGATTGCCCTTTGGCTAGTACATTTTTAATGGCGTCCATGTATGATACATTTTACTGTCACCTATTGAAAAGTAGAACGTATGGTTCCTTAATTTATTTATTTATTTTTTTGGGGGATACTATCAGTTTGTTCTATCAGGCAATTTGTATGGAAGAATGACTTAACAAAAAATAAAAATAAAAAGAATGAGATATTCGTATTCGTTGCCCAAGTACTGTATGAGTTTTCACGTGCTGAGTCCGGGTGGTAACCAGCATTTGGTTTTTTGACCTTGACTTGATTGGGATTTTTATTTGAACTTATTGCAGGATAACAAAGATCTATACGCAGAGGAAGCAGCAGCACAGAGAGAGAGAGAACGTCAGAGGATGCTAACAATTCCTGGGCTCATTGCCCCTAGTGAACTACAAGATGAAATGGTGGACTCATGACCCCTTTAATTCTCTCAAATCCCCTGATTTCTTAACCCCTTTATCGCCGGTAATTGCTGGCTATCGGCTGCTCCGGCTGCCGGAATTCCACTGGTGGTGGCTGGAAAATTGGTTCTTGGCATCTTTATTTTTTTATTTTTGCTTTTGTGGGTGGGTTCCTGTCCATATGCTCCCCCTTTTGCAATTTGGAAGAGCTCGACAGTGGACTACTGGTGATACTTTCCGGATGGTGATGGTGTTAGTTGAAGTAGCCATAGCTCTGTCTGTTTATTTCGCTCTATATCCTAGAGTTGGTCTGGTGCTAGAATTCAGTGGGTCATTTTTCAGGCCACTAGAATCCCGTGTTATTACCTGTTCTTATTTTTGCCTGCGTGTTATGTCTGGTGATTCGCCAGAATATTGGGCTCTATGCTCGGAATGGGTGTGCTTCGTGTATTCTAACCATTTAGGGTTTTGCAGATATAATGGTTTGCTCTTCTGTAAGCTATTTGTAATTTTGGAAGGGTTTTCTATAATCTCTTCTTTCGATTTTTCTTCTATTTGTTGTCTTTATTTTTTTCTTTTGGGAAAATGACTCTTGAGCATTTTGATATGATATGTACTATAGCTTGGCTTATTAACGAATCTCTAGTGGAAAATGCATTGCCTGTTATGAGCATTGGATATGATATCATATTTACTCTAGTGGGCTTCATTAGATAGTGGAAAATGCGTTTCCTGCGAGCTTGGGGTCTCATTTCGCTGTGAGCGAGTGACCTAACTATTTCAAGGAGTATGAATAATCAATGATTGAGCAAATGTTTTGGAGCTTGACAAGCCTAGTTTTGAGCAATGTCAATGTATTTTGTATAAGTAGGCAGGATTATGGTCCGGTGAATTTTTCATCCAGCGACTTAAAACAGAAAATTTAAAATGGTATGGGTAGGATAAATGGACCTGGCCGACCCCGAATATAGGTCGAATGGCTGGCATTTCCACGAGGGAGAATTTTGCGTATCAATGGGGGCACCATGAACAAGAGCAGTCAACCATTTCCTATAAGAACTAGTGGCTAACTATAGATCTTCCCATTAAAAAGAGATGGGAGAGGGTGGAGCAATAGTGAGACCATTTACCATTTGTACAAAATAGTTGCAATTAAGTGTCTTTTGGATGTGAAATTGGGTGGTTTAAAAGATATTTTCTTGAGCTTTGTGACATTCAAATTATCAAATTAACATATGATGGATATAGGCAATTGTGACCTATTTGTACGATAAGTTTCATTCGGTGATTTAAAACTCGGTAACTCGATAAAAAATCGGGTGATTCAGATTGGGTATCACCCAGATCGTCTTGGATCCCGTCAAAGGTTGGGATTCACCTTTACAAAATCCGTAGTATGATGTCAGGATCCGCATGAATTGTTGTAATGTGATGGGATTCGTGTGAATTGCTGTGATGATATCATGCATCGCATCTGATGTCACCCAATTTCAACCAACGCCCTTTTTTTATTGCAAAAGTCGTTCTAAAAGACGGGTCTCACTTGTTATAAGTTTCGCGAAAGTCGTTTTAAAAGACGGGCCCTACTTGTTATAAGTTGCCCAATCGCACGCTTACCATTTGCCGTGTTCAGGAGTAATTAAAAACTCGGTGGCCTGATCCGGAATCGGATAATCTAGATCTCGGGTATTGTCTAGACTGTCCTCGATCCAATCAAATGTCGAGATTCAACGATCCGAAATCAGGCGATTAGGCTAACTTAGGGATTTATTTTGGGCGGCCATCCAAAATGCAAGAGATTGTTTAACAAATATTGTTTAAAACATATACTAGCAATTTTAAGTATTTTTAAACTAATTATGTTTATTATAAAACTATATTAGCAATTCATAATATATATGCAAGAGTCATTTTTGAATCACATTGATAATATTATAGTTAATAATTGTATTAATTACATTGATAAGTAAATCTTATATATTATAAATTCTATAATATATTATTTGTTGTTATAGTTGTAAGTTAGATTTTTTAAATTAGATGATATTATAAGACAAATCAAATTTATTCTTATTTGTTTAGTAAAATGGTTATAAAATATATACCAATAATTTTAATTTCAATGTATAATATTATAGTTAGTTTGGTTGTAATAATTTTGGAAGAGTAAAGAGTATTAATAATTGTTTGATGTGATATGATATTATAGCTAGTTAGGTTGTGATAATTTCGGACGAGTAAAGAGAACTAATAAACATTTGATGTGATACTCATTTCACTTTATATAAAAAATTATTTTTAAATTTATAATATAGAAGTGTTCTCTAATATTTTTAAATTAGTTTGATGCAATAGTATAATATTTTTTTCATAGTTAATAATGATACAGACTTTTAGAACAGAAAAACAAGTCAATATTCTCCTACTTTTACAAAGTAATGAAAGTACATAATGCATCACTTCTAATTTCTTTTAGAAACTTAAAGAACAATATTTTAAGAGATTTATAGTGACTTTTTTAGAATTTTTTGGGAAAAAATTGCCAATTCGTTCGATTCTCCAAGCTGATTCACTATTCTACTGATCCAACACGAGTATGGGTATGACCGATTCCGTTCACCAATCCGATTTTTTAAACACTGGTCTCATTGCATACAATCCCTTTTCTCAAATGGGGTATTGATGGTGCCGTCCTCGAATTAGCTTGCCAAAAACGCCTTGCTTTAAGTATGCTGCCCTCATTGCCGGTGATTATTTTGGTTCAAAATGGTTTGGCTAGTATGTTGTGTTAGGGGGACTGAGAAGATGATTTTGGTTCAAAATGGTTTGGCCATTATGTTTTAGGGGGACTGAGAAATTGAGTGGTCCTGTTAAGCGAGTCGAAAAATGATAAAATATGGGCAGTAAATCAGTTTTATTTTAAAAAGTCGGTGGAAAAAATCAGGCAAAAAATACGGATAACCAAAACTAAGAATATTTTGGACTTGGCTCAAAAAATGGAGTGAAAAAATTGGATATGTAAAATTACACAAGATGATTATGATTTGTAGTTATTGCATAGATACATTAAATCCATTGACCAATAATTTTATGGCTTTATTTAGTGTCATTAGAGTAATATTGGATAATTTTTTGTCGGAACTCACAATAAATCAAACAATAATGCTTACTTTGTTGTCAAAACACAAAATATATAATAGATTTATCGGGGGCATAAAATAAAACAACAACTACAATAACACTAAAAACAAGAACTATATTAATAAACAACACACAAAACATATAATAGATTTATTGGGGGCATAATATGTAACGGCAACTACGATAACACTAAAAACAAGAACTATATTAATAAATAACAAGAATAGTAAACCAAGATATATGATTATTGTTCATAAAAAAGGAAAAAGAAAGAGACACTGAGTATAGGATTGTAGTTTATCAAAATAAAACACAAACATCCAAATATGTTAAGTAGTTGTCTATTCAAAATGCTATGTTGTATGTATCAATGAAATAGCTAGCCCCAATTAATTGGGAAAAGGCTAAAATGATGATGACATACACCAATGAAATGAAAAACAAAAATAAAAATATGAAATTGATCAAACTTCTCTATGCATAAAGAGAGCAACAAAATGCTTAAGCAAATTCAAATCTCACATTGAATTCCTAGCTGCTTATATTTTAGTTTCATTGAATCTCTCTCGCTCGCTCTTTATAAGGACATTCCAGGTTTCCAAAAAAAAAAATAAAAAAAATCATTGAGTTACTCTTCTTCTAACTCTACCTATTACTTTTCTTAAGGGAACTTATTGGGGAAATTTTTATGGATTTGTTTTTGTTAAATCAAGATTCTTAATTTAATGTGCTTATTTTTAAACCAAAATTTAGTAATATTAAGTTAATGAATAAAAAAATTTGTAAGGAAGAAGTTTTTTTTTTTAAAAAGTGTTTTTGAAAAAAATAAAACACAGATTTATATCGGTTCCATTAAAAAAACATGACGTTTTGAATATCTTTTGAAAAACTCAAAGTTCTTATTAGAGATTTTTTGAAAAAATCGTGTTTTAAAAAGAGACTTGCTAACCATGCTCAAAGTAGGGGTTTGTGAAAATAGCATGTTAGTGCGCAAGCTCTTGGCCCTCGATGAACCAATTTTGAGCAAAATTTTGTAGCTTTCAATAAGCCAATTTGCATGTTCAATAATCAAGCCAAGCACCGTGCAGGACATGCTTGGCTGAGCTTGGCTGAGCTTAGCTTTAAGTGTTACTCAATACTTAAAGTCTGTGGATGACGTTTAATAAAAAGGAATGATGAGGATGAGTTTGATAGAGCGGAATGACAGAACAAGATCCGTATAGCCGATCTTAAATAATTGAGATAAGACGAGGGATGATGATGATGATAGGCTTATTACAAATGGGGATGTCCCAGCCATCAAAATAAGTGATTTGAACCTTACCACCCAAACTATGGGTGGTGATTTTGGTTGTTGGTGATTCGGCCACCTATTTTGTTGGGACACTGAAAAAATGAGTGGTCAAAGTCGATTTTAAAGATTAAAATGGAAACAAATTCTGCATGTTCTTGTATCTCCGTGCTTGGCTTGTGACTCGCATGAATAAGCCCTTGGCTAGTTAAGAACTCTACCCAATCTAGGGTTGTTGCGAAATATCTAGCACTGGTGTTTCCAAAATGGATATGATGTATAGTCTTAATGTGCTGACAAGAGAGAAATCTACGAAAAAGATTAGAATTGGAATATGAAGTGTCGAAATCCTGGTTGGGTGAAGTTAAATTTCGATAGAAGTTCTATGGCAAAGCCTGGGCTAGTAGGCGTGGGAGGACATGTGAGGGATAGTGTAGGTAATGTTCTTTTGAAATATTATGGGCTAGTAAGGTTTGTGACTGCGAATGAAGCAGAGCTTCGAGTTGTTCTTGAATGGGATTAAACTGGTGAAACGATTTCAAAAACCAGTTTTAAGAGAAGGGGATTCTATTAATATTATTAAGTAAATAAAGAAGGAAGCTGCATACTTGTGGAGATTTCATAGTTTAATATGTGAAGTGAATGACTGATGTATGGATATAGGATGTAATTTTTACCATGTATATCGAGAAAGCAATATAAACCCGGATAGTTTAGCGAAACTAGGAGTTGATAATATTTGTAAATTCTGGTGAATAAGTTTTTGGTTAGGAGTGTTTGTTTTTTTTTGGGTATTGATTTCTTGTAATTGTGGCCATGGGGCTCTTATGTTGATTTTTGTATTGATTTCTTGTAATGGTGGACGTGGGGCTCTTATGTTGATGTAATATGCCATTATTTAAATGGAATAAAATGTTACTAATTTAAAAAAACCAAAAAAAAATTCCACCCAATTCAAATCCAGGTCACAACACAGAGAGAGAGAGAGAGAGAGATTTCTTGTGTTTTTCGTATAACTTTGAATTAAAACTTTATCTGGGATTGATTAGGAAAAGATAACATAGGTATTGAGAAAATTTTGTGATAAGTTTTGAATGGAAATTGATTGGGACCCATTAGCGTACAATTATGATATGGATGAAAAAGTAAAGGCAATACTATTGTTGGAGAGTAGGTAGTGAGTAAACCATGTAGATGATCTTT